CCCTTATGTGATTTTTTTTTTTTTTTTTTTTTTTAACCTAATCTGATAGTTTCTGGCTTTGAATGGGAAATACATTTACATTCAGCAGAATAATGACTATACTAGTTTGTATTCTTTCCAACTTACTCTAAATATATTCTTAGTTTACATTTTCTTCCCTTTTCTCTATTTTTGCTGGCTTGATTTAGTTTCTATTCATTGCATTTTTCCCTTTTTAAAATTTTATTTCATTTCTATTATTCTTATTTTTTAAAAATATTTGATCACTATACATCATTTGGCTTGTAAAGAGACTTTACCCAACATGAAATACGTCTCAGGCCAGTCCAATTAAGAGTACTGTACACGTTATCATCAAGTGATAAATCATTTCTATTTCCCACAAATGTCTTGCCTATTTTTTTCTTCCTGATTTCCTTCTCTATACTCCTCTCTTCTCTCATTCTCCTTTCACACTGTCTCCAGTGTCCATAACTACTTTCACTGTTTTTATGTCCTCCAATCTTTCAGTTTCTACCATAGAGTGCAGTCAATATCATTTTTTCCCTTGCTAATTTGGAAATGTTAATTGTACTTTCCCATTATTATTTTAAGAGAGATTTTAGCTACAGGGCACATGTGCTTGCTGGGGAGAGAGGGAGGGAGGGAGAGGGAGAGAAGGAGGAAGAGGGAGAGAGGGAGAGAAGGAAGAAGAGAGAGAGATAGACAGACAGACAGACAGGCAGAAAGTGAGAAATCACTCCCTCAGGGGGGATGGCCATGCTGCAATCCCTTTACCTCCACTCTCCTCTTGGGATTTTGGGCACACATGAATGTGTGCCCAGTGTGAGTTTTGAGCTGCCAAGTTTGTGACTTGAACTGTGGTTGACTATGTGGGAGTCCAGCAACATGACCATTACACCATTTCCTGGTCCCTATACTTTCCCACTTTATGGCCCCTTTCCCTGCTCTCATAGTCAGACATACTGAATTTGTACAAACTGACTATTTCCTTCACCTAGGATATAGACTCTCTAGCTATAAACTTCATATCAAGATCCCATTATCATATAATTTGGCTATAATGAGGTACCTGCTATAACAAAACCTTAGCAAACTACTGAAATGGTGAATGAAACTTACCTCCAGGAGCTAAGGAACCTGGGCCAGGTCCTGTGACAGCAGCTGCTATTTGCCCTGGTGCTGGAACTCCACTCTGCATAGAAGCTTGCATCAGAGTAGGTGCACCATTGATGTGCATGCCACCCTGCCCAAGAGAAAAATCAGAGTATTTACATGCCTCTGTATAGACTTAATAAACCTATGACTTTGAAGTCCTCTTCAAAGTAACAGCTCTAAATATTCTACTAAACATCCTTTTTGTACAGTATGTCTTATGCATCATTAGATTTATCACACACTTTGGATTCCACAGAAGCAAGTTGCAGTACATATCATGAGACTGGTTACATGGAACATAGTTAAGATGGAGAATATTCTACATGAAGTGATTGATAATGCTAATCTGTTGGCAAGGCAGTGTGTGGCATCTATTATGATATCACAAACTATGGTCTGGCAATAAGGGTTAAAAAAAAAAAAAGTGTTGTGAACCTAAGAAGAAAAAGGGAAGTTTGGGACATTTTTTTCTTAAGCAATTGCTGGGAATCTACATTTCTTATCTTTTTTTTTTTAAATATGGAATGCTTCATGAATTTGCGTGTCATCCTTGCGCAGGGGCCATGCTAATCTTCTCTGTATCGTTCCAATTTTAGTATATGTGCTGCTGAAGCGAGCACAAGGAATCTATATTTCTTAAAATAAAAAAACCTTTTCATCTGTGTATTAGATTGTTGGGAAAGTACTGACATATTTTTCCATGCAAAAATGTGTAATGACTTTCCGAACAACCCAGTATTTCCCAAAGAACTGAGTAGTCCCTTGGAATAATAAAGAGCTGAATCAAGAATAAAAGCTAAATAATAATAACCAAAAAAACCCACATATATGCTTAGAAAACACAAAACTCTAAAATAGGAAACTGACAGGGAGGTGGATAAGAGAAAAGGGGCTATGAAGTGAGACAACATCAGATTCAGATCCTAGATCTGCTACTTAACAATTATTTTGGGACCTTCTAGGTCTTAATTTCCTTTCTACCTCTGAAAAGGTGTTAATTTAGAACAAGGGTTAGCACACTATGGCCCATGGGCCAAATCTAGCTCACTGCCTGGCTTTATAGTTTTATTAAAACACAGCCACACATACTGTTTACATATTGTCTCTGGCTGATCTTATACTACTGTGGCAGAGTAGCTGTGACTGAGATCCTTTGGTCTGCAAAGCCAAAAATACTTATTATCTCTGCATTTATAGAAAATGTTTGCTCACCCCTGCCATGTACCTATGTACATGTACCGTCAAGTTTATCTCTGTCAATTTGATGAGTGAAAAACAGTAGGTTATTACAGTTTCTATTCCTATGTATCTTATTTAGAAGTTAAACACATTTTCATGTATTTGCTTTATATGAATTGTTTTTGTCCATTACCTATTTTTGTACTGTTATTGGTAATCTTGCTAATTTACATAAGGCCTTATACTGATTATGAAAAATTACGGATATACAAATCATATAGAAAATTAAATAAGCACCCAGCTTAGGAAACAAACTGCATATGTAACAAACGTCTCCTATATAGTTTTCCCATTAAGAATTCTTATAGATGTTTAAAATTTTTATACTAATCACTGTGTACTGAATATATTCTTTTGCCACTCACTCAAGGTATTTTTGGGGTTTATACAGACACAGAGCCCACAGTTTGAGAATGCTTCCACATTCACTTAGTTTAACTTTTGTATGGTATTATGTTTGAGTTACCTGTGTCGATATCATATATTCTGGTTCGTCTTAACTGTTGCATAGAACTACATTTTTGAAAGTCACTGATATTCATACATGTGGTTTATTTAACTGTATTTTATTATTATTTTTTTCTTTTTTTGGAGAGGTTTTTGCTATAGGGCACGTGTGCTTGCCAGAAAGACAGAGAGAGACAGAGAGATAGGAAGCAAGAAATCACCTCCCGGGGAGGATGGCCATGCTGCAACCCCTTCTCCTCCATTCTCCTCTCGGGATCTTGGGCATGCACGCACACACGCCTGGCGTGAGTTTAAGCCACTGGGTCCGGGACTCGAGCCGCAGTCGACTACATGGGAGTCCAGGGACGTAGTCATTATGCTAACTGCTGGTCCCATATTTAACTGTATTCTATTGAATATACCACATTTTTCCCATTCTTCCACTGATGTACATTCAGGATGTTTTCCATTTTTATCTATCTATCTATCTATCTATCTATCTATCTATCTATCTATCTATCTATTTATTTTAGAGAGATATTTTTGCTATAGAACACATGTACTCACTGGAGAAACAGAGAGACAGAAAGCGAGAAATCACTTCCCAAGGGGCTGGTCATGCTGCAATCCCCTCTCCTCCACTCTCGTCTTGGGATTTGGGGCTTACACACACACATGCCTGGCGTGAGTCCAAGCCGACAGGTCCAGGACCCAAACCATGGTCAACTATGTGGGAGTCCAGCAGGTTAACCATTACACCATCTGCTGGTCCCCCATTTTTTCACTATTATAATGTGGCAATAAACATTTCTGAACACGACTAAGGGCTCTTTAGCCTGTTGTCCATCATATGCATGGAAAATACTTTTTCCCAAGGTGATTTGCTTCTACTGTTTATTTTTTCCTCTATTCAGAAAATTTTTGGTTTTCAAATATATCAATTTTTTATGGCTTTAGGGGTTTGTGTCATGCTTGGAAAATGAGCTTTACTCTTCTCATCAGTGAGAATGGAGAGGGACAACTTCATTTAATTGCTGTGAGGATTAAATGAAAATGTACATGGAATAACAAAGGGCCAACCACAGTGCTAGGCATGCATATACACATAAAGTTAGCTTATAAGAAAAGGGCATACTGGAAAGATCTCTTAGTTCTACAGTCTTGGAACTGAATTTATATTCATTCAGATGTCATGTGCTCTGCAACCTGGAAATTGCTTTTATGCCTGGAAAGTGAAATTAACATCTCTGGTTCCTGACCATTCTTCTTTCAACAGATTCTCCTAAAAAGAAAATAACATTCTAAGACAGATAAAATAAATGTTAAGGGATAAAGCCCTACCAAAGACTGTGCCTGAGGGGGTTGAGGATTCTGCTGGTTCATTGATACATTGGTTGCTGATCCAGGTCCAGCACCATGGACTGGCTGAGAGCTGCCTGCAATCAATGTTGGGATATTTGTCTGGCGATGCAGAATTTTCTAAAAAGTGAAAAGACAAACCTATGAGCTCTCTGTTTAGTGAAGCAATCAGGTAGTTTCCATCCCACTCAAGGTTTACCCTAACATTTCCATAAAAGAATCAGGAACACTCACCAGGGCAATCTCTGGATCCACAATTCTCATCACTACCTGTGCTTGTAACAAAGCATAGGCCAGCTGAGGGTTCTGAAGCAACATGTTCCGTGCTTCCTGGGGACTATTCTGGACACAGAGCTAAGAAGATAACCAGATCTATCATCAGGTTCTATACTTATTACTTAAAAATTGATAGTGATATAGAGTCATTTCCATCTGAGAAATGTTAACATTCAAGAATCTCTTTCAGATATCACTGGTATTTACATGGCATGCAAAATCATAGAATGGGCAGAAAAAGAGAAGAGGCATTTTGAATACTATAATACTGTCATTTAGGAAAAAAGTCATATTTTAATATCTATACCTGATATCTATGGGCCATAAAAATCCGTCTGGATTGTTTGGGTATGTATATTTGTATATAACAATAGAAAGCCCTTTGTGAAAAATATAAAATATACTGTGTATATATAAAATATTTAAGAGTCTAAAAATTATAGTTTGTAAAGACAATTTCTATTTGAGCTCAGGAAACTATTTCTATTAACTTGATCAATTAGCTCCTTAAAAATATGATGTGATTTGCTTTATTCATAACCTAATGCCTTCTCCCACCTTCATTTGTTTCATCAGTTCAAACATTTGCTCTGGTGGAAGACTGGCAACTGCTTTGCTAATGGATTCAGGGGCATCCTCAGGACTGATGGTCTCTCCATAAGGTGACTCAATGACAGGGGCACCAGTGCCAAGACCTGATCAGGAAGAAAGTACAAGAAAGTTAAGGAGGCAAAATAAAAAGCCAAATCATTTCAAGTATCTACTTTTCAGGGTTGCTGTAAGGACCAGTCAATAACTTTAAATTCGCTGGAGCTGAGAAATGAATGATTTGGAAGTTTCCTGTTTCTGTAGAGGAAAGTGAGAGTGTATTTTCTGTCCTTAGAAGAAAGCTGAGGCCATGGTTACACAGATAGATAACATTAACCTAAGTTAGGAACTAAGGATATTGACTTTTTTTTTGGTTTGTTTTGGAGAGGTTTTTGCTATAGGGCGCATGCACATGCCAGAAAGACAGAGACAGAGAGACAGAAAGTGAGAAATCACCCTTTAGGGAGGATGGCAACCCCGCCATCCCTTCTCCTCTTGGGATCTAGGGCACGTATGCACACGCGCCTGGCATAAGTTTAAGCCACCAGGTCTGGGACTTGAGCCGTGGTTGACTACATGGGAGTCCAGTGAAAAAGCCATTATACCATTTCATAAACAAAAAGATTAAATATAAAGAGATACTATTCCAAAACAGAATTTCTGGATGTATAATCTCATGAAAAAGTACCCCCCCCTCAAAAAAATACTTAGTAACCTCCTAGTTACAGATCTACCAACTTTAAGTCACAGGATTGACAAATGACATACTTAGCATACTTAGCACTAATAATAGCTGGGTAAAACTGAAATTATCTATAACTGGAAATCAACTTCTTGGCAACTAAAGGATTCCTAAAGTCAACTTTACCTTGTTTCTCAAAGATATACACTTACCTAACTCAGCTACTTCATGTTGGTCAAATAAAGAAGTTGTGTCTAACCATTTCAGTATATTGTAAGAGACATCATAAATGGATAGTCTTTACTATTAAATTTTTCCTAACTCATAGTGCATGCAACTTGGATTTATACTCACTCTTCAACTCTTCTTTATTCTTTTCACTGGCAGCATTGTCCACTCGAAGCGCTCTCCCACTGAATTCACGCCCATTCAGGTTCCGCATGGCACTAAGTGCCGTCTCTTGGTCTTGATATTCACAGAAGCCATAACCTTTTGGCTTTCCTGTCTCCCTATCATATACCAATCTGAAGAGTAGAATCAAGTGTCAGGCACAAATGTTACACATTTCTGCTAACATTCCTATGTTCTATTTTGGCTCACTCAGTGTAAGACTAATAATCATAATTCTGAATCACTTAAATATTTTTAAAACATTTGTAACAAGACATATTTTTTAGGTAAAAATAAATGTCAATTGCATGACACATGAATAATGTCTCAAAGCTATTACAAAATAAAATACATGAGAAAAGTCACCAGTAAAAAACCCCTGCCATTAAGAGCCAAATTCGTGGTAATCTTAAAGAAACTCCCACGAAGAAGTAAAAGGGGATCTCACCTGAAACTAACAACAGGTCCAACCTCAGAAAAAATGTCCTTCAGTTGCTCTTCAGTAGCTTCATAAGGAATATTCCCCACTAAGGAAAAAAATAGATAATGTATTAAAATTCTGGGTTTGTAACGTAGATGTTTAGTAAGAATGTAAACAGTATTTACTTCCATCATTGACTATGTAACTGGCTCAAAAAAGTGTTTTGCAACTCCAGTGTATTTTTTCAGACCTCTTAACAAGGGAAATAAGACATTGAGACTAAATACGAAAGGTGTAGGTACTCCTAAATGTTAGTTATTTCTCAGAATGACCTGACAAGTGTTAGATTTTCCTTAACTTCGTTGAAAATAAATACTTGGGCACTTTTACCTCATGGTCTGCAAGTTGAACCAGTGACTATTGAAACTGTCAATATCATAATTTTTAACCAGGTTCATATGTCCCTATCTTGACAAATATACACACTTAACGGAGGACCACGCAGTGTGGATGTATTTAAAAAATTCTTAACTGTTTCGTTATGTCCCTTTCAAAAGGTGCTTTAAATTCACCATTTATTTGGTAAAACAACTTATTTCAGTAGAAAAAAATGACTCGAAATAGTTTCGACACTGTTTAATTAGAAATCCCTCTGATGAGGTCTTAATAGTTAATTCATTCATTTACAGTCCACCTCAAGACGCCAGATAGATGCTACCACTATTGATGAATTAAAATGTAAGGGGTAAAAAGCAAAGGATGGAAGTCCTTAGGAGAGGGCAGGG